TGTGCGATGCATGCGGCTCACGGGCCGCAAGTTTGACAGCCCTGATTTAGCACAATTTATTTTACTCTGACTGGCAATATTTCAGATAGATGGAGCTTTTCCTAAAATTTGCTGTCAGAAATCTTTACACATTTTGCATGCAGAACATCCCAGAATTGACCTGGGAACATCCGCATGGAAAAGCATTGAAAGCCTAGTCCGTTAGTTTGTATGGTTCCCAACAGAATAGTACCAGATGCGGGAGAAGTGGAATTGTCTGGTGTCTGCATCAAAAGCAGCAGCATTTGAGCATAAGTTCAAACAAAAAATTACCAGCTCCAAAACTAGATTAATATTCCTTTCATATATAAATTCACGTCTGTGTTGGTTTTCTCCTAAGTATTTGAACTTTAGGTTTTCAGTTGGATCCTAGTTTGCTTCCAACCTGCCTTCTTCTCCAAAATATATTTAAAAATAGGTTTTTGCCATCGCCTGTTTTCTGAAATCCAGTTAACTGAAGATTGCTGAGAATTGTCAGCCCTGCCACTGGATAATAGTCCCCACCCTTCCCTATCACTGGCATGTGCCTCTCTGTTTCAGGTGCTGTGTTTCTAATCTAGCTGTAAGGGTGGCTAATGAGTTCCCGCTTCCCTTCCCAGGTCTACAGCAAAAGATATCCAAATGCGTTTGGTAACTAGGTTTGTGAATGAAGCCATTCTGACCTTACAAGAGGGCATCCTCAGCAATCCCGTGGAGGGGGACATTGGAGCTGTATTTGGACTAGGCTTCCCACCGTGCCTGGGAGGTGAGTGTTGTCATTCAGCAAGGAATTAAGGAGTTAATCAACGTCTTTTCTATAGCCAAAGGATTGGAAACAATAATGGGAAAAATCTTATAAGCACCTTTGGAAGTGGTAGTAATTTGGGCTGCATTTTTTTTTCAATTGGTAACGTAGAATTGGTAGTAGGATTGCCTCGTTCCACAGTATAACTCCTTCCATAAGGAGATAACTTCTTGAGCTCTTGCAAATAGGCATTAAATATTCAAACTATGGAAGTCTTTCTTAGCAGGAACAATGCAGTTTTAATAGCCCCACAGTGTTCTACTGTAGGAACTGCCAATAGTTGAACTGTGGTTCCAGGGCTTTCTCTCCAGGGATAAGTACAGGCGTTCTGGTGTCCTCTGAATGCGTTGAACTGCATTTCCACCATTTCATGCCATTCGTGTCGTTGTGTAAACTCTGTGGCTCCAGAGATCCAGTGGAACTCAATTGCCCACACTGTTACATAGTGAGTGTATCCACTCATTATTCCCCTTCCAAATTATTTTATCAGATACATTAATGCTTGTAACCAAGGTATAATGGCAGTCGAGGCCAGCATTCTGAAATATTTTGGCATAAAGACCACATTCTTCCTCCCTCACTTCTGTGTATGTCGTGGCAGGACCCTTCCAATATGCAGACTACTTTGGGGCCCAGCAGCTCGTGGACTGCATGAAGAAGTATGAAGATGTCTATGGGAGTCAGTTCACACCATGCCAGTTGCTGCTTGACCATGCCAAGGACTCCAGCAAGAAATTTCACAAGAGAACTGCCTGAATTGGCGTCTGCTAACCAAAAAGAAAAGGGGAGGACCTACAAGACATCTTCGTATCGGAGGGCTGTGGGTTTTAACTCTTTTAAGTGCCTTAGTTATTTAGGCACTACTACTTCCTGGCCCACCCCTCATCAAGCTGAATGTTGATTTCCCCATTATCACGAGAAAGAATGGGGAGGTTTCTGCTCAAAGTATGGTACTTTTCAGGCCCATTGCAAGGAACTACTCATTGGAAAACAGATGTAGCTTGCAGAAAATTCATAAGAATAAATTGTAGTGTATTGATCTATACATAATTTTGTCATTCATTCAGGATTAGAACTGCTATTAAAGTGTCAAGTGGCCAAAACAAGGTTCAGTTGAGGCTGAAACCTCTGAGGGATTCTGTGCTCTTATAGGATTAGTTGATCAAAGATTGTTTGAAGATCTCCAGAGCATTCTGGAGAGCCTACCACTGGTGACAAGTCGGTCTCCAATAAATCTGAGAAAGCAGGGATTTTCAGCATGGAGTCAGGATTTTGCTAGTACTAAAGTGCATGAAGTTTTACATACAATTTTTGTGCTATATCCAGGGCAAAACACACATACAAGACTTGCACAAAATATATACATGCATCAAAGCAAAACCATGCTGTGTAAAAATGAGTGAACAAACACCATGTATTCAGTGGGGCACGCATTAGCACACAAAATAATACTTTTCTGTTCATCACATTCCTCTAGGACTCCCCTTAACAGATTTTCTTTTTCTTACGCATAAACACAAAGTTTAACGTACTATTTGTATTTTTTCAGGAATGTTTGGTAATGTTGAACTATTCTTGACAGTATAGTGTTGGAGGCAGTATAATTAAGGGGAGAGCTTGAGGGTATCAATAGGCAGCTGGAGTATATTGGCAAACCATGTTGAAGACATTTCAGTTAAATGAATGGAGGTTGCCCAAGGATCTCTACTGAGCCTGAAACTTCCTAACTTACACGAAAACAATCTGGGTTGGAGGTGAGGAAGCACACGATATTGCATTTTTAAAGAAAGTTTCAAAAACATTGGGGGGAGAGGTGCTGCTAAGAGCTGCAAAAGTATCCAAATTAGGACAATCGGCATTACAATCCAGAAGTAATTCCATGTATGAAAATAAACGCTTGTCAAAATATTGTAGTGGATGAAGGCAGATGCTTTAAATAAAACAAACCAGCCTTCAAGGGATGGGGATCCAGCAGACTCTGGCTTATTTTGAATGTTGCTGGTGGAGGTGGGGGAGAGGACCCTATCTTTTCAGTGCCAGTTGCTGGGGAACATAAGCAGGAGTGCAACTGTGTCTTATTTTACTTGAAAGCTTCCTAGAGGTTATCTCATTGCGTGAGGACACTTGAACAAAAGAAGCTGTTAATCTGAGGTAGCATAATTGCTTTGGTTTGTTCTCTTCCCATCCTTGTTGAAAGTAGCTGATAATCTAGTTGCTATTCTATAACACAGAGCCTCCCCAACCTCCCCCCCCTCCCGGGCCGCAACTCACTACAAGGCCTTGAGCCATTCAGAATCAGGCTGTGGAAATGACCAAGTGCATGCGCATCCCTAGTTGCACAAATAGCCGAGCACCATTTGCATGAGTTGGGAGGCGGGTGTAAACTTGTCTGCCACTCACGCAAATTGCCCACTGCTTGTGAAGAACCATCCCCTCCTTCCCCCCCCCCGGGGGGTCAGGCCGCAAAGCCGGAAAGATTGGGGAACTTTGCTATAACAGATATTCAGTTTCTTTCTGAACAACATATTTTAGGCACACATTTTTAAATAAATGTTTGTTTAATTATTGCAGTATTAAAAGTAGAAATGAATACATTGAACTCCTTTAGGCTTAAATCATTTAGCCCCATTTTCAGCTAAAAACAATTGTGAAAGTAAGTTGGTGGTCGTCTTAGGAAACAGGCAGTTGCTGCTGAAATGTGGAAATCTCAACAGTAGTAGGCAGGCAATAACAATGAAATTGCCAGGAGAAAGGAGGAAGATTAGTAGTATGCCTAGAGATTTACAGGGTGAGTTTTTTTTTAAAAAAACCACCAACTGCCTGCCTATACATTATACTAAGATGCAGTAAATAACTGCCACACACACATACACACACCAAAAAAGTCACACAGACATCTGGTTAGGTATACTAGGAACAAATTACATGGAACTGTCACTGGGTGCTACAAACTTTCTGCACAGGCAAAACTAGGCTGCCCAAATATTCCACAATTTTAGTGCAGAAACATGAAATTTAAGCAGCGTACAGTTGTTACGGTTTTAGCCCTTACAGCAGTGCAAAGGTGCTTAAAAAGTTCAAGTGTTTAGGGAGGTGGGCTTATGCAGTGTCAGTGTTCTGTGTAAAAATCATCGAGCTTTTACTACCCTGCAGCCTTTTGAATTGCAGGTGGGTGGACACCAGTCAGCATTACACACTGATTTTGCACAATTAGCACTTCTAGATTATTCTAAAACCCTTCTTTTAAGCCCATTCATTTTCTAAATGCAGGATACTTTCTCCATAGGGCAACATTGAAATTAGCCTGCATGTGGAAGTAGGGCTCTAAGCAACGCTGTAAAATATCAATCGACACACTGACATTTTAATCTAGACCTCAGATTAAGGATCAGGGTTTCTGAGGCAGAGACTGCGAGGTGAGTTCTATCCAAACCTCTTTCAGCTATAAAGTTGCCTACATTTCATTCCAAAGGTTTAAGTATAAAATCTTGTGAGGCCATTTTGGGGGAAATGCAGATACACTTGCTCTATTTGTTTTAAGTGTATCATAAGTCACTGATGTTACTTTTTTTCTATATCAAGAGTCTCCCTCAAATTGATTGCCCCCAAACAATCATAAGGGTACATATTCATTACCTGTCCCTTACTAAAAGAAAAAACCCTCCAAGCTAATGTGACAAGAAACAATCAGAAGATGAATAGGAATGTTACCACGAGAAAAGTAGGCAGCTTGGCTCTGGTGATTCTGAGACTTGGCCAGAAAGGGAACATGTAACCCTCTTCCCACACATTGGCGATGCTGCTTTCCTCCTCTTCCACACTATCGATGCAAGAAATTACGTAAGGCAATAAATCTCCTTGCTAATCTTGGCACAAAGACTATCGATAGGAACCCATCGTAAAGTATCATTCATGTGCAACTGTTGAGGCTTCTGTTTTGCTCTGATTTCTACTTTGCCCATTTCCATAAAAGGAAATTTGCAACTTCCTGCCAATTCCTTGTGTTGGTTTGTGGTTAAAACTGACATAATCAAAATCCTGCGTTGCTCTTGGGGTTCGTGTCCTGCTATCATTTTTGAGATAGCGGTATCTGCTTTGGCCTCTCTCCTAGTTTTATACTTAGAGGACAGCTTAAATCTAACTCCTGCAATCCACAGAGAAACTTTCCCTCACCAATCTAGATCTTGGGCCTCCAGCCTTTGATGAACTGCATTATTTTTTTGACTTGAAGTTTGGTAAGATGAAAATCCTCAGATAGGATCTCCTCGGTGAGTTGTACAAAGATGCTACCATCGATGCGTTCCCGGGCAAAGAAGCTGACCACATCCTCAGAGAGGCCGATGAAGCGCAAGGATCTAGATACCTCCTCAAGTGACAGCGCTGATAAGTCACCAGGAGGCTGCCAGGGTGAACCATCCCCATTCAGACGGGCAGGAGGTGCCTCAATGACCCCCTGAGCCAGATAAAGGTGGGTGATGCCACCTTCAGAGCCATGAACAATGGTGGATGACAAAGGGGCTACTGACGTCCGAATGACAATATTTTCAGCCGTGTCAAAGGGTTTTGATGAGCGAGGTGGTGGTGCAGGACTACAGTGCCCCTCTGGGGAGGAAGAGCCTTCAAAGAGGTCAAAGGTGTCTATGGAAGAGGCGGTTGTCTTCTGCCAATCAAGAGATTCCAACCAATCTGAGGAGCCAGAGGAAGCTGGGCTGGAAGAATATGCTGGATTGGAAAAGGGGTTAAGAGCACCAAAGGGAGCAAAGCGTTTCTGTGGCGGGGGAGGCTTCAGGCGAGGGCAGCTATGGTAGCTCTTGATGGCGTTGGCATCAGTGCTCCCCAGCAGAGGAGTGGATCTCCCAGTGGCCACACTTGAGCCTGGATCATTATATGGCCAAGGGTCAGACCAGGAAGACATCTGAGCAGGTGGGGGCTGAGATGGCAACTGTGTTTGAGGGCTGCCCAACTGCCGACTAGTGGACTCTCCAACTTTGCAGTCACTCCATGTGCAGGGATAGCAGTACAAGGAGTAGGAGTCCGGAGATGGGGAGCAGCTACCGCTTCGTGGCCTTGAACTGGAAGGCAAAGAAAACAAACAGCATCAGAGCTAGCTCAAGTGAAATGGGATTTGGCGTTCTCTGATCATAAGTCTGGAGCAGATTAGTGTCTTAAAACCAGAGTAGACAAATCCAGCAACATCTAAAGTTGTGCACCCCACCTCCAGAGTTTTGCCAATGCATTTTTCCAATTTCCTTAATTTGAAAAACCTTATGCTCACTCCTCCAAAGACATCCTTGCCTGACAACAAAGAGACGTTTCATGCACACTGAGCATGCAGTTTCCAGAAATAGATTTAAGCACATACAAATCTCTTGAAAATGAAAAATTACCATAATTCATCCAATATTGCTTGTTGTTAAAAAGACATTGCTGTCATTTTCATTCAACCTCCCCAACTTCTAACTCTGGAAGTTCCTTCCTAATCAAGTATATTGTTAAGTAAAATATAAATGCCAGGGGCCAAATAGAAAACCAACCGTACTGCCCTTTTCAATTATTTTTTTTCCTGAGACACACAGAAAGTTCAAACTGCCACAGCTACAGGAATAAAAGGTCAATGTTTTTACAAACATTTTTGGAGAATCCAAACACATAGTCCAAAACGATGGGGAGGCATAGCTCTTTTTATGAAAGCCATGCTTTTCTTCAATGGAAAGATACTTTGTTTTATATGCCTGGTACTGTTATGTATAATTAAACTTTCCATAATATTGTACATTTTAGGACATTTGCTTAGGAAAAAACTGAACCAGCAAGCAGCCAAACCTGAAGGAAAAGTGTAATTTATACTGTACAATTAGCTCTCGGTATTAAATATTTATTATTTCCCAGTAAATATGGAAATATGTTCTTTCTCTTTTTTGCATAAAACTTTAACAGGGCTAAATTTTCTAGCATCAAGGTAGGAAGATTCTATGCTTCCTTTCTGACACCTGAGAGTGCCTTGTTAACGGTCAACCGACAAGAAAAGTTCTACTCATATGGTATTTATTGCCCTTCTTGCTGTTGTATATGCCTGCACATACCCTGAATCTAGCAATAGTAAGTACACAGTTCACTCACTGCAGCCAATGCAGTGATAAGATCATTCAAGGCCTCTGGATACCAGCCCAGAGGCCTATACTTTAAGACTTCATTCATAATAATATTGCATTTTACAGTATACAAAGAAAGATGATAAAGCGAATGCCTTTAAGCATATTCAGCACTGTATTCTCCCCATTCTCATTCCCCCAACCCCCAAGTTCCTACAAGGAAGGCTATATCTTACAGCTCCCTCTACAGAAGCAATCCCAGTTCCATCACTCACATGTCATGAAGTCCAGATGAGTAGTATGAGAGGTTGGCACTGGGTGATACTGCCGCTTGGAGCTTGGGGAAGCGCACGGGCATTGGAGGGCTGGAGGTGGCCGATGTGTGGCCACCACGTGGTGGCACAGGGGGAGCAACAAGGAGACGACATTCCTCTCTCACCTATGAAAAGATTGGGGATAAAATAGTTATTTGCTGGGGTGATGGAACAAATACAATTCAATATATTTTGTGAAGTAGATTGATCACACATGTCCATACAGATTGAAAAAGGCATTTTCTAAGATTTCAAGCAGAGCTATACAACACTTTAGAAACCAGATGTTTCCAAGCCTGTTTCTTCCAAGATTACTTGAAAAAATAGAGGTGATTCAACTTCCTGCCAATTACCCCTAGTTGTGTTTTTTTTCTAGGATATATTTCTCATCTTAACAAAGTAGAATGGAATGAAAATTACAGGACATCGTTTAACCAAGGTATATGAAGTTACATACTTAGCTGACCAGAGTTGTTTCATAATGAGATGGCCAGTATATAAATTTAATAAATAAATAAATAATTGGGGGTGGAGGAACCTGAAAAAAATGAGAAAACAGTTTTTGGGAGGTGCATTGTGGTCCTTTCATTCCATATACTAGGTCAATGTGGAGGATAGCATTACCTGTCAAACTCATGTTTGGACTGGCTTTAAAATCCAATCTGTAAATGCTACCAGATCTATATGTGTGTGTGTGTGTCCTACAGAGAGCTACCAGTAGAACATTTTTTTTTTAAAAAAAGGCTGTTAATGTAGAAAGTGTCCATGTAGAAAGCCTGCAAATAGATGCTGGTGGAGAGGGTTTGGCAAAGTGTAAACACAAGGTAACAATTTCATTAATCCAACATGCAAAATGCTGAGAAGGAACTAGATAAGAAACTATGATGACAATCAATTCCTCAAGTGCCTTTAAAATGGAATAATTGATTACTGAGAGAGATGGCAAGCTCCCTTTCACTGGTTGTGTCGAAGCAGAGGCTATATAGTTGAGGATATTTTAATTTATATATCTCCACTGAGCAAAAGATTGGGTTCAGTGATCTAAATTACTTTTTTGTAAGGCTTTGTACATCCAGGGAATGGTGTGGATATTTCAAATATGGGAAGGGAAATGGAAACACAAAAGATTCATTAAAAGGGAAATCAGAAATACATTACTGAAATACAGAAATAGGAGGTCAAGCTATAAAACCATATCTTCAATATAAAATTATGAGATATATAAAGGGCTTTCCGAAATAGCGCGCAATTTTACAGAAATATATTACCACTAATTGGCACAGGAAAGTCAAATGGATGCACCTCCATTATCTCCTTCAAAAATTCTTGGACTAGAAATGCCATACTAACAGTCACAGGACCAAAAAGTGCATCTTATTAAACAACAAGTTTCACATCTACAGGAGTTAAAGAGAAGATTCTTTAGATAAAAATTAACAGAGCTGGAAACCAAGCCTGGCTTCACATCACTGACTTACCAGGAATTATTTTGTTATGGTGAAAGGCATCTTGTGAACAACTTCAACAATCACCATATTCAGCAGTACTGTAGCAGTTTGTCCCAATTGTGAAGAAACAAATCAACCAAAGAAAATAGATAATATCTTACTTTGCAGCAAAAAGTTCGGCAATGTGTATATGGCTGCTGAAGCAAACAACTCCCAAAATTGCAAGATTTAAAAAAGGATTAGACTCCACCATATTTATTTATGCAATGGGGTATAGTGATAATGCTAAATGAGATCGGTACCACAGGTAAGCAAAAGCTCTCTGAGCCTTGAAAACTGAAGAAAAAAAAACCTGACAGTTCATATAGTAACATTTCTCAGTTAAAATCCACCAGCTTTTAACAATTTATATCGTGAATCCCATCTTCTTCAGAGGCATCAATGGTGGAGGTTTTTAAATTAAAGACGAAGGAGAAACAGAGTATTACCTAATATGGGACCTATGGTACAATTGGCTAGACAATAGATGCAAAGGTTAGAAAACAGACGACAAAAGAGGATCAACAAGGTAGAAACAAATACAGGTATAAAGCTATATAGAAGGATACGTATTGCAAACAATATTGTTACTAGATTGTACATAATTGCAAATCAAAATATATAGAGTGATAAATGTATAGAGAAGTATGTTATAACCATGGATACAATAGATATAAGTATGTTGTATAATTTCAAGTTTTTATTCTTTTTTCTATGAATGAAAAAAGAAAAATGGTCATAACTAGGATGTGTAACATCATGTATATTTTTAAAAAGTGTTGATACAACCAGCATATCGTTGTTGCAAAATTTAAATTGCTAAAATGAAGGAAAATGCACAATAATTTTTTTTAAAAAAATGGTGATGGTTTAAAACAGAAATGACAGAAAATTTCCACCAGAGAGAATGTCACGCTCTGAGAGTCTGTTCCAAAACTAAAGCTAGTGAAGAGCCAGTTATGCATGGGACTCATCTATAGTCCAACAAATACAAGCCGTGAGGTTGAACATTTATGGGTACTAAGAATCTCGAGTCTATTGTGGTAGACTCCCATGCTAAAGATAAGAAAGGCAAGATAAGAAAGGGAAGTTGATTCTATTGGCCATCAATCTAGGATTCTATGCTGTATTGTATATCCCATGACTAAGAATCTTGAATCTGTTGTGGTAGACTCCCATGCTAAAGATAAGAAAAGCAAGAGATTAAAGAAAGAACACTATGGTATTGAGTATTAAAATATGAACTTGGACCACCAAAAGAAAAAAAAGAAAAAGCAAAGAATTACTAATACAAAAGTTTTATTATTAAGAGCAATTTATTATTTACAGTTACTCAAGACTTTGCCAAATTCTTTTCTATTTGCTTATAATACTGTCCACATGTATATTTCAGCTCTCTGTAGTGGTATCTGCCTTTTTTTGTTTTTGTGGTCTCCAAGTCCTGTCACTATGGACATCAATTTGATATTGGCAGGTGCATCTCATCCAATGACAAAGACAGTAAATAATCTAGTAGCTCAAGGGACAGTGGATGCACCTGTCTCAGAAAGCTGGACCACCATCAGCAAATAAATTGAGACAGGGAAGAAACAATACCCTAATCAAGCAATCATTGAGGAAGAAGCTACATTGCAGGGCAAGCTACTATATACAAACAGCCAGCAAACCCCATTCTCCCTCATACTGATGTTAACAAGTCTGTAATGAAAGAAAAAAACAAGGTCAGAACGTTCTGTATTTTCTAGAATCAGAAATGTCCTTAAAAACTAGCAACCCCTCAGATTGATCAGAACATCACATTTTCTCTCTCCCTCTCTCTTTCACACACTCAAAGATCCCCATATCCTCCTGTCATAAGAGAACAGAATATGGAAAATAAGTTATAGTTCAATATCTTTTCCAAACACACTTCCACACAAAAATAGAGCACAATAATTCAAATTTTAGTGAACTCAATAAACATATGAACAAAATTTCCTTATATTAAATGGAGCATTTAATGAACCAAATGGGCATTTGTAAGCCAAAGTTGCACATTATTAAAAAAAACAAAACACTGAGCTGCCAATGAACAAGGAAGTTTCATAACAAATGTCTAATGATCTGAAAAGAAACTGTACTTTGGGAAGAATGAATTATTACTGAAGGAAAAAGCAACTGACTGGACTGTTTCATTTTTAGTACCAACCAACCAACCAACCAACCAACCTCTCTCTCCCTCCCCCACTCTCTATATAATCTATATGTGTCTGTGTGTGTGCATGCATGTGCGATAAACATGCATATAAAATAAACGTTACACATTTTATAACTCATTCATCTACATTTATGTATCCAAAATATCACCCTCTGCATACAACAGTAAGATATAGCAGTCATGGGGAAAACCATAAGAATTAAAGATTCCAAGGAACCAAGGAAAAATAAATTAAAAGCAAAGCAATACTGACACCTAAGCAGCTTCAGTAGCTATGGAATGCTAATTACTTACTAGAGAAGACAGGGAGTTGATAAATATGAGGAGTCAATGAAGAGTCCCCAAAAATGCATTCTATATTAGAATATTTTAGAGCAGATCCAATTTGTTATTCCTTTATTACAGAATCATCAACAGTAACCCAAATGCCTTTCAAAGAAATATGGGCAGCAAAAGTCCCATTGTGCCACTGCCTCTATATAATTCTCCTGAGTAATAACACATGAGCAGCATTTAAAGACTTAGGAAGTTCAGATTTCCCAGTAAATAATCAATCTGGTGAGAGACCAGAGAAGAATCACAACCAGTGGTCAATTCTATTGGCTTTCCATACCTTTATAGTCCATTTATCCTTTTGAAATCATTACCATTCAAATGGAAAGCCATTATTATATATTGAGCGTTCATCTGATTCATAGGCAATGCCTAATATATTACATAGGTTCATTCCTTAGAAGCTAATTGGACCAACACAATCTCAGGTTATTCCTTCTGCTTTCTAAAAATCTATTGAAAAATAATTACTGTGGTATTATGAAAAAAAAATAAAAAATGGTCAAAATTTCAACTTCTGTCCCACATTGGATTTCTGCATATTCCTGGGGAATCCTATATATTCTATCCATCTGAAGTCACAGCTGTGTTTGCAGAATAGCAATTAGTCTTCAAGATTGGCTGGCAATAATATGCAAAGTGGTTAAGGAGGTGGACTGGGTCCAAGAAAACCCAGGTATAAATCCACCATCAGCCTTGAAAGTTCAATGAATGACTTCGGGACAAGCACTCACTCTCACTTCAGCCTATGTCACAGAATGGTCCCTGTAGGAGAAAATAATTAGAAAAGAGAATACAGGTAGTCTTTGACTTACGACCAAAATTTATGTTGCCAAGTGAGAAATTTGTTAAGTGAATTTTGCCCCATTTTATGACTTTTCTTGCCACATTTATTAACTAAATCACTATATTGATTAAATTAGTAACACAGTTGCTAAGTGAATCTGGTTTCCCATTGAGTTTCCTTTTCAGAAGGTTGCAAAAGGTGATCACATGACACCAGGACACTGCAACCGTCATAAATGTGAGTCAGTTGTCAACCATCCAAATATAAATCACGTGACTGTGGGGATGCTACAATGGTCATAAGTGTGAAAAATGGTCATAAGTTACTTTTTTCAGTGCCACTGTAACTTTGAATGGTAAATGAATTTTGTACTAGATATGCCACTGAAGAAAGCCAAGCTTTAGATCTAACAAATAGCTTAGCTAATTTTACAGTTGAACAGAGGTGGTATTCGGCCAGTTCAGACCAGTTCTGGCGTACCAGGAGTAGAAATTTTGAGTAGTTTGGAGAATCAATAAATACCACCTCTGGATGGCCCCGCCTACCCGCCCCCGCCCTTTCCTGTCCTATATTCCTTTGTTTTTTAGCTCAGCCGATTCCCGCGGCAAAGAGAATTGCCGCGCCTCAGCTGAGCTAAAAAACAGCTCACCTCAGTTGCACTGACACAGAGGGCAGTTTCTGAGTGCTGTGCATGTGCACGAAGTACTCCCTCAAAGAACCGGTAGGAAAAAAATTGGAATCCCACCACTGCAGTTAAACTATGCAAGACAGTAAACAGTATAAGAAGTACTGTTCAATCCTGAATTTTCCACAGTTCAGCTGTAGTAAATGACCTCAACGTTCTAGGTTTATGGCAGAGTGGGAAAACTTTCCCCAGTCTTCCCTTTTCATATCTGTATCAGTGGTGGGATTCAAAAACTTTTACCCCAGGTTCGGTAGGTCTGGCTTGGTGGGCACGCTTTGTGCGCAAGCGTACACATTGTGTGCCAAACACGCACTTTTTCGCAGGTGCAGAGGCATTTGCGCAAGCGCAGAGCCGTTCCAACTTACCTCCTGCAAGCCTGAACTCTCCTGGTCACTTCAGCAGCTGCTGCACAGCACTCTTTTGTGCAGCGCAAAGCAGCTGCGCTTCAAAAGCAGAAGATAAAAGTGAGTATGGGAGCCCGGGGCGGGTGGGTGGGCCCAACAGCAGAGTGGCGGAGAGAACTGGTCTGCTCTCTGCTGCTCATCGCCGCTACCAGCTCGGCAGAACCGGGCCAAACCGGTAGCATACCACCACTGATTTGTATGTACCATTCTCTACTTTAAAATGCGCTTATTATCGTATGTTTTCTTTATAGAGGAAGTGTTCAAACTTTCAAATGTGTGCAATGACAAAAACTATTTAGCAGTATTCCAAATGTGGTTACATTACAGATTTTTAAAAATGACTTATAGTAATGTATTTTAGTTCATTTTCTACTAATCTTCAGGATGGAAGGTTTATCCATCTACATCTCTACATGCAGAATTTATCTGAATAAGCAACCTTTAAGTGTGTTTCCCTTCCCTGGATGACAACAACTTTCTTTCACAGCTAATTCAAGCTGAACAATAAAACACATATTCCTTCTTGAGTGCCTTGCCCTGACTGCAGTTTCTATTTTCCATCAAAATGTCTACTACCTGAATCTCTTACCGCTTCAGATTTGGGTGGGACTGGGGGAGGAGCATCTGCGTTAAGGTCTTCCTGCAGCAGGCCTCGATGGCAAGGTGAACCCCCGAAAGAGATAAGATCCCGCTGGCCCTTGCTGGTATTCTCCAGTCCGGGAACAGTGCTGCTGGATTCAGAATAGTTCTCTGGGTTTTGATTAGTCCACAATTCTTCATATGGGAGCTCTTGAGTCCGGAATGTGGGTTCCACCCAGTCAGGTGTCATGTATTCACGCTCAGAATCCAAAGTATCAGAAATAAGGCTAGAGGGCTCTTGGTGAGAGGGGAGAAGCAATGGTTGAGCCCTCCGTCCTTGAGACGCGTCCTGGCAACGGCTTTCAGAGGCAGCATACAAGCAAAGTGAGAGGCGCTGAAAGGATTGGGCTAATTCATCACGGCTGTAGCCCTGCAGGCAGAGGCGTACATGGCGGGGGCTGGCACACTCTTCTGAGAAGTCTGGCTTGGCCTCCCGCACAGCCTTGGAATATTCATTGGGATCGAAGCATTCCTGGCAGAGGGCAGCAGTTTCTCGTAACAACTTCTCCAGTTGGGGGTCTCTGCCTACACGCAACATCCCCTCCGGCAGCAGAAAACGGGGCATGTCTGTGAGCAAGAGGAAGTGGAAGGGTGCCACCTCGTCCTTGCGGAGAATGCAGCATAACACCACTGTCTTGGAGACGATGCTCACCAACTTGTAACAGTGGCCCTCACGGATGGCATGCAGATCGTAGGGGTTTCGAGGTGGCCGACTGGGCACGATCACATTGACAGGAAGTCGCACCTTCTCGATGATACTGCGAATTGTATGTTCTCCCTCCTGCATTTGCAGCTCCAGCGGTGAGCGAGTGCTGAAGCGCCCTTTGCACTGGAAAGGCAAGCTGAGGCTTTCATTGGTCCGATGATTCATGCAGATCAAGCACGGCATCTTGCCCTTCAACTGTTTGCCGCTGCCACCCCCAGTGTTGCCGCTGCCGCTGTTACTGCTACCGCCATTCCCACCGCCAGTGCCAGGGACGCCTGCTTTGCCCAACTTCCGCAGCAACGTGTTCAAACGCGACTTTTCTTTCACCGCTTTTGCGCACAGAATCTCTGCCTGGCCCATGAGTGTTAATTCATCTCCTGCGTGCAGTGTGAAATTGTATACTTCGCTATCTTCACTGAACTCGCCTGACACAACCTGGAAGAAGCCAATTGGTGGGGGGAAAAAGGGGAGATAAGAGGCTTAACATGGAGAATTCTACAACACAGAGGGCAAGGAAAGAGGTGGCTTTGTACCAGTGGTGGGATTCAAAAACTTTTACCACCGGTTCGGTGGGCGTGCTTTGGTGGGCGTGCTTTCCGCGTGTGCACACACTTTGCATGCATGCGCACACCAAACATGCACTTTGCATAGGTGCAGAGGCATTTGCGCAGACGCAGAGGTGTTCCAACTCACCTCCTGCAAGCCTTCACTCTCCCAGTTGCTTCAGCAGCTGCCGTGCAACACTCTTCTGTGCCACGCAAAGCAGCTGCGCTTCAAATTCAGAGGATAAAGGTGAGTATGGGAGCCCAGGCGGGAAGATGGGCCCAACAGCAGAGCGGCGGAGAGAACAGATTCGGTCTCTGCTGCTCATCACCACTACCGGCTCGGTAGAACCGGGCTGAACCGGTAGCATACCACCACTGCTTTGTACCACAGAAAGAGGGGTTCTGCGATACAAAAGCTACTGCTGTGCTCTGCCATAATATGAGCCATGGAGAAAAAGCTAAAAGGTGGGTTTTTGTGATTGTGCATGCTGTATATGGAAGAAGGAAGTATAGGTAGTCCTCGACTTACGACCACAATTTTGAGCCCAAAATTTATGTTGCTAAGTGAAACATTTGCTAAGTGAGTTTTGCCCCATTTTACAATGTTCCTTGCCACTGTTGTTAAGTAAATCATTGCAACTGTTATCTTAGTGTCACGGTTGTTAAGTGAATCCGGCTTCCCCATTGACTTTGCTTGTCAGATGGTCGTAAAAGGGAATCACATGACCTTGGGACACTGCAATGGTCATAAATATGGACCAGTTGCTAAGCATCTGCATTTAGATCTTGTGACAATGGGGATGCTGCCACAATCATAAGTGTGAAAAACGGTCATAAGTCACTTTTTCAGTGCCGTTGTAACTTTGAATGGTCACTAAATGAACTGTTGTAAATAGAGGACTACTTGTACCCTAGGCCATCATTTGGGGCTGATGGACTCCATTCCACTCAGGAGTTCTTGAATTGTAACCATTTGATCAAAAAGGGAAAACAGAATAGGAGCCTCTTTTTGACACAAAAGATTAGAGAAAAGTTTAAGAGATAGACACCTGAACAGCCAACTGAGAGATGCCCAATTGCGTGGGTTTGGGGTGAGAGAAGTCAAATTCCAGTAAATTATCTAATTTGGGTTACTTAAAAAGACATTTGTTGGTTTCCACAAAATAGATAATTGAATTGGCTTTCAGATCAAAGCCATCACCACTTGAAAAGGAAATACTCCTCTGTTTCCCTGTTTCACAGAGTACAGAAACTGTTTTTCATTTCATCGGGAAAATGAAGTTCTAGGATATTTCTTTAATAGATTCAATGCAATGGTCTATATATGGTTTCCCAGAAGAAAATCCCACTCTGTTCAATGGGAATTACCCCTGTGTGTGATTAGGATTGTAGAGGAAATGACGTTTTTTGAAATGTTCTGCTTTGTGCATACTTACTGAAGTTTCCATCCTTTGCTTTTTCTGAAAACCAAGCCCTGTCTAAACTTAAAATGCATTTGATCCTCCAGTATTAGTTATTATTGTTGTGGTTTTCAGCAAAGTGCATTATATTTTCTTCCCTGAGTGTGATTAGCTTTGTAGTAAGAAAAGTGTTTCTATTTATTCCTTGAGATAATTCACAATCTTATAATTGAAGAGGCAGAGATCCAAATTGAACTAGAAAACCTGAATGAATGAATGAATGAATGAATGAATGAATGAATGAATGAATGAATGAATGCAAGTGCTCTACTGTACTCCCTGATTTTCCAAATCTTATCTCTACCTCAGGTTTAAAATGAAATTGATAAAACTAGAGAAGACATATTAATGTTTCTATTCATTCAGAGCAGATCCCTAAATTCATGTTAAAAAGACCGTTGTCAAAAATACAAAAGAGCCTATTGGATCAGAATAAAAGAGCCAGTTCAGCCAGTTCAATAATCCAATCCACCTCTCTCCCAGTGGTTAACCAGTTGTCTTTTTGGAGAAGCCCAAAAGTTAAAGCATCCTTCTGAAATTTGAGACCAATTTACAGTAGAAAGTGAGGCTATATTCTGCTTTCAATTCCTTAAATCTCAGCTATCTAATTTCTTACTTTAGCTATGGTTATTGCATTAAAAAATGGATCCTTCAAAAATGTTATGCAGACTATCAGATATGAAATAGTCGATTAAACTGCAAGTCATATTTTGGTTAAGTAGATGTGATCAAATCTGAGCTTGCAAAAATTCTTTTAATTTGCTTTACTATAGCTTCATTAACCAAGCAGAAGAAATGACCGTCAAGAAATCAGATATCAAACCCAAAGACAGAGAGGCTGACCTGAGTGTGAACACATTCCCACCCCATTTCCCATCTATTCTTTAGATCAGGGGTCTCCAATCTTGGCAACTTTAAGACTTGTAGACTTCAGCTCCCAGAATTCCTCAGCCAGCTCGCGAGTTGAAGTCTACAAGTCTTAAAGTTGCCAAGGTTGGATGGAGACCCCTGCTTTAGACAGCTGACATATGCTAAAGTACAACTGACCTTTACGCTGAAGGTGATGGCCTCCATGACGAACACCCGGTCTGGAAAGATGCTCGCCACCTCCTCCACACTGTTGAAGTACTGCACAGGCTCCCGGACATCCCTGTCCTGATCTAGCAGCTTAAATTTTCCTGCAGGATTAGAACCCCAAACATGTTAGTTTAGTTAGGAGATGGGTTTGTTGAGATTGTTTTTTGTTTTTTTCAGATAGGCAAGCTGAATCAAGAGGCTGGCAGGGAATGAGAAGGGCAGACTCTGAAGAGCTACTGCTATGCCTACTGGGCATCACCTAACCAATTAATATCTCCAACAGTGGCCAACCAGAAACAGTAGGGAAGCTTTTTTTTTCCTCCAACATTTTATTATCAGAGGTATTTTTGTGCTTAATGCAGAGCCTGTTTTAATATATTATGGCTAGCAGTCAATTGGGATATTTGTTCCAATACAGTTCTCCATCTTTCTTTCTTTCTTTTAAACATAAAAGCAGAAGATAAAAAAATGTTGGAGTTAGACAGCAAATGAAAAAAATAAAATAAAAATAAAAATATAAAATAGCCTTGAATGGCTGGATCGGACAAAGGGCCTGTTTAGATAGCATCCTATTTCCAGACACAGCTAAGCAGAAGCACACAGCTAAGCATCAAAATAATCAATAAATTTCTCCCACATTGCTCTCTGTCAATTAGAATGTAAGAATAATAATAATTCTGAACCTAGAATTTCATATAGCCACCATCACAAAGAGTAAATTATTTATTTTTCCTTCAGGAACTTAACCCAATCACCTTTTAGAGCCCTCTTTGTTCCTGGCCACTACTTAGATCCTGTACATTCCATACATTAACAGTACTGGGTAAAAAAGGGACTTTTCTTCCTTGTCTCAAATCTATATTGCAGTATAAATAAGAGAAGATGAGGAAAAAATGTATTAATGTACTGTACACTTATAATTTTATAAATCTCTAATCATTTCCTCCTCACCATATTTATGTTTCTCAACCATCATCATCATCAAAGTCTGTCCAGACACATTCTCCATTGAGAAAAAAAAGGCCAACCTGGAGAATATCATGTACCAACAGTAAACTTTTATCCAAACATACATAGAATGCATTTCTTCCTTTTCCAAGTCATAGTCTAATCACAACCTAGAATTAGGAATAAAATTTTCCTATTCATAGACCAAAGTGCATTCTTGTGAAAAATGAATACTGGCATCCAGAGTTGTGCCAATGTGAATCCAATGGAATGAAGATACGCGAGTTCTTGTGGTAGCAAGAATCTGGGACTAGATGAAGTACTGGCTTATCTTCAGAACACCAAATATCTGCTGGCTATACACGTAATTCTCTAATAAAGGAAATCTCCTTAGTCTGTTATGCTTTTTGCTGAAACTCTTGTCCTTTATCTGGGTTACCCTCTGTAATGTTCATTTTATTACATTGTGTTGCATTCCTATTCTTTCTGAAGGAGCCCCAGAGCTGCCTGTAACTGCCTTAGTTACCACCTTTCAGCAGCAAGAGATCCCGTGAAATGCAAATGGTATGGCTCTCTTAATTTCTTCCCCGGGATTCATTTGTCATAGTTCACCCAGAAACTTCTCTATAGCCAGCAAACGAGGAAGCCAAACAGACGGAGACATCAAATTGGAGCAGAAGTGAATGAAAGGAGCCGCTGGTGATGATGAGGGGCAGTGAGAAAGAGTCAGGGCTCAGGGCTGCCCCCAGCTCAGTTATCAGCCGTGGGCCCCTTTCTTTTCTCCCAAGGAAAAGGCAATAGGGCAACAAGCAATTATGGGCTGCGATGGGGGCATCAATGCACCAGCTGGAAGAGTAACGAAGGCATACAATAGGTAGAAATGAGTATCCATGGCATCTCTGCCTCTTTACACTCTCGCTATCTGGGCTACAGACATAACAGCAAAGCAGCATAACTTTTAATGAAGTTTAAACTGTGTGTGTGTGTGTGTGTGTGTGTGTGTTTTGACTATTATTAGCCCAGAGGGAGATGACTTCTTGATGTCTTTTATCAGAACAAATTGCTATCAAGATAGGAAGTTAGAATATTTTGCCAGAAAATGCGGTGTAGAATTAATGCTGCCAAGTTCTTATTAGTAATGGTCATTTAAAAAGACATCACACATACAGATTTCAACCGCAACGTTCTTCTGTATTATTCCAGTTATACAGAAAAAGAAAAAGGAGCCACTCATGTTCAGGTCTAGCATTTTAGCTGTTTGAAAGGAAGGATCTGGAAGAGAGAAATCTACTTTATTTATTGAACATGGCTCTTCTGATTTTGGAACTCAGATTAAATCTAGTTCAAAATCACAAGCAGTCCAAAGAAGCTCCCTTTTTCAAAATGTCTCCCTCAATGCATAAATAGCAAAAGATGCAGACCTAGGTGAAAAAAAATGCCTGAATGGGAATTTTGTGATAATTCTTAATTGAGTTGAGTCTCAAAACCAAATGATGAGCAATTTAGCAGTTTATGATGCAGTGAATGGACATGGAAGCATCGCTGTTTTACTAAGCCTAATTAATTATGTAACTCTATGAAATAAGAAGCTAGGGAACAGCTTTCTTATTCAGTCTGGTGCATTTTACCGAAGCCTCAACTTTTTACACACACCGATGGCTGAACCAGCAAGAGTTAAGATTTTCTCAGTTCAGATCTCACAACTATTATGAGCTTCACTGGTAGCCTGGTGCAATAAGTCCACATACTAGTGGTATCTGCAGCAAATCATAATAATGACAAAATGATGACAAACATCATGACATCCTCACACAAGTGCCATCATTTTGTACTTTCATCCTAAACATTTGATGCCAGTATATAATTTGTACAATCACATGCCTTTCATAATGTTTCCCCTTTTCTCCCCTGAAGACATCCATGTACGTAAGCTTGTCACCTTGCAATAGTGAGACAGTACAAAATATATCACATTTGATTATAAGATACAATGATGAACATAATGTGTGCAAAGTGTTTGAACATTTATAGAAATGCCACCAGTTATTGTCTTTATCGTGTTTCTTTCTGAAAGGCCATAGGCATCACACATTTATTTCACATCACTTGGAATGACAATGTTGTGAATTTATGCTCAGGCCATTGTGTCCAACCTCTTGCTTTTTACAAGAACCTAGCCTCTCTGTTTGTCTTCTCTAGATAGTTTGCTCACTATCAAAAGACCCTCACTGTTAGGAAATGTTTCCAAATATTCAACCATAATCTGTCAGCCTATAATTTAAATCCATTACTGCCTGTCCCACTTTCTGAGATGTTAAACAGATCTTGGCCTTTTTCTGATGGCACTGTTTTCAGACACTCAGGGAACTTAACTCTCTAAGATTAACTCCCATACTTAATCTGAAATATTCCTATCCTTTTCCCTTCATCCCCCAGTTTAAAATCTTTGGTTATCTGGGAATCTCAAATTCACTCATCAGCATATAGTAGATGATTGCAGAGGACATTTTGTCAGTACAATTTAAACATTCTGGTTTCAAACACAATAGAATTGGTTAAGTGAGATCAGAATGGTGTTAGATTAGACTCCAAGGATCCCAATCCAGCCATGAAGCTCATCAGATGACCTTCAGCCATTTATCATGTGCTATCCTAAATTAAGTCACAGGATTGTTGAGCATTTAAAGATAGTGGTAGGAATAATGTTTCCTACTCCTAAATTATCAGGAAAAGAGCACAATTTAAAAATTCAGTTTATAGCACATTTGAAAGCCAATAAATGCTTTCAGAGGTGTTTTGCTATTGCCAAAAGCAGACTCGAGACTCCAGAGTGCTTAATCATACTAACTGAAGCCTTCATGTGACATTTAAACCCAGTTTTGAGCAAAAATAGCTCTGAGATATCCTAATTCATTTCAGCGGAGATGAAATGAGTTGATTTTCCCAGGCAGCCCAAGAAGAATGGTTTAAATATATACACTGTTGCCTAGATACAATACAATCTCTCATATGAAAAGTCTTAGTGGTGTCTCCTTTCTCCTAAATAGCACAGGCTACGTACATCATGTCTCCATCATCATAAGGAATGACATTTTTAAGCAATTCCTGTTCATTTCAACAAGACTTGAATTTCTCAAGTCAGTTGGCAAGCCTGCTCGGTCAGATCTTTCTCATTTTTACCATACTTAATAGCAACCAACAATTCTGACAAGCTAATATTTTTCCCTGCATGCAGTTGTCCACTTATCAAAAGCAACGATTTCACAATGGAATGAATGTGAATTTTGCTTTGCTTGCAAGCTGAAACTAGAACCATCTGCTCTGGGTTTTTTTATGAATGGGGCCAACAAAACAGGTTAACACACTTACTCTTCTTTTCCTGTCCCATCTGTCTCCCCAAGGAGCAGCAATTAACTGCTCCTGTCCGCTTGCCTCTCATTATTTATTCATACTTGCACATCATTATCAAAGATGGGAGGCACTTAAGAGTCTCATTAAAGGCCAGAGATGATGTCAGTTCTGTTAATTCATGACTCCAGTCACTCCTTCCTACTGTACCATCTGTTCAGCACCTCCCAGTCTCTCACATGGTGCCAGCAACTCCTTTCCCCCTCTCTGATCTTCTACATTAGGCACCAACCTCCTGCAAACCATGCCCTGTCTTTATTCAGTGTTCTCCTTCACCATATTTTCCAAGCCAGGTCACTGGTACTCTCTTTCCATACCTCTAGAACTCAAGACAAGATGGAGTAAGCATTAGCAAGTCCAGGACCACAGTGCCCAGGAATGTTTGCAGCTAAACCTAGAGTACTTGATACTAATAACATAAAGTCCAACCACTGGTTAGAGCAGTTGGGAATTGTAATTCAAGATTTGGAGGGCCATAGACTCCTCATATACAGTACAGATTGAGAGTTTGAGCAACTAGACAAGAGAAAAAAAAACCTGACAAAAATAAGATCATAAATCAAAACTGACAGAAGGCAAACCAGGCCCACTAAAGCCTTTTGGGAACAAGACAGATTTTCCAAAGGAAGCTGGGAGAATCCCTTCTCTTTCTGAATAAAAACGCAAAAAGAGAGACAACAAGATGGATTGGTATATTTTGGAGCGCTCAGTCTAATGGTGGAAACCTAATATATGTCATATAGATCTCCAATCCCAATACAATTTTTATAGGAAACCCAAAATTAGCATTCATTCACCCATTAAAACATTAAAACCCATTAAAACAATAGCTTTTGTTGCAGCAAAATTAATAGCTAGGTTTTTTTTTCCTTTGAGCTCATTAATTACAAGCCCTGATTCTTACTGATCTATTTCTTATGAAAAGTCTAGCCTGAGAGATTGATTCTACATAGCTGATCCCTCTCCACTTGCTTTACCAACTGTATTTGTTTCTTTCACTCTCTGATATCAGAAAATTATTTCATCTCCTGAAAGCCTATCAGGAAGTACTGAAAGAAGTAGGCAACGTGGAGTTCACTAAGCCACTCTGCTTCAGCCAATACATCGTGCAGCTCCTTTGCCAACAATGACTCACGCTGGGTGTAAATTTACCTAAAAGACCTCATCCCAAACACAAACAGAAAAGAAGATCTTGTTTTTTTCTTGTAGAAGGAGATCTTATGAATCTATCTATTATCTTTCCCCATTAGAAGATTAAAAAACACTGAAGTTGTTACTTAGCCAGGTAACCAAATTTTTGCAAGAAAACAGCCAAGTTCAGAGACCACCAAGGATTCCACATATTAAAAACCATAATACTGGGAATGGGAACCTCATGAGATCCTATCTGATGAGACCTCTATATGCAACAAAACTTTTGAGAGGAACTGGGATGTGTAGGAAAAAAGAAAAAAAGGATCTCTTGGTTTGAACATAACACTCATCATTATAAGCAACTAAGCACAACTAAAAAAAGTATTCCAACCTCCTTATACATTTATCAAAATAAGATAATACAGTTTCATCATGCCATTTTGCCTTGGAGGGCAAACGATAAGCAATCCCTCTAATTTGAAGATAATATAGAGCTATTGGATTGATCAGGAGTGTTCCTGTATTTTTTTTTTAACTTTCCTGGCTGACACTTTGCTTACTCAACAGTGCAGGAATTTCTGTTAATCTATAACCTAAGGCTCTATTTCTTTTAGGCCCAGATCCATAAACAGCAGTCCAGATCTTCTCTTATCCATTTTTGCCAACTTCATTTTATAAGTTTCTGAGGCAGGGATCTTTTTCATTTTACAGTTTATCACCCCAGACAGTGTGATTGACGCATCAAGGTTTCAGAAGAGGTACATCACTATTGATCAAAAGGAAAGTAAAAAAAAGAAAGAAACTAACCTAAGCAGAGACATTCAAGAAGGTAGGACAGCTATCAGAGTATCTTTAGAAAAATCTAACTGTTTCCTGTCTAACCTTCTTCCACTACTTCCCTTCAAATATCTGCTTCACTGAATTCTCACCGTTTCGTTACCTGGATATTGGAGGGGGATGTCAATCTTGGGGCCAATGACATAATGTCCTTCCTCCAAGCTGTGGGCTGTCACTGTAGTCCACTGACGACAGGAGTGGATGAGAAGCACATCTTGGTCACTGACCCCCTCTACATACTCCCCTGTGACAGAAATGAGAAGAGGTGTGAGATTGCTATGCATTCACCCAAACTATTTTTTAGATGCTGTGCACTGACCCAGACCCAGAGTTATTGTAATGACAATAAAGGAACGAAGACTCTAGTCACATTACTTTAATCAGAATTCTGGGAACTGTCCTGGAAGCTGCTGCAAGATGAAAAATGCCATGAAGAGTTCAACTAAAATGAAAGCCGCCCCCACATATTCTCACATTCACGGGGTAAATCCCCAGTTAAGTACCCTTACTTTCCAAAAGTCAGGCACAGAGCCCTTCCGCATAAAAGTCAAATTATAATATGACCTGTAGGCACCTGGCTATTCAAATCAGTCAACTTCTCCATCCTGCCAATATCTGCAAAGCCTTCTTTGAATAATTACTGGCAATGTAGCAAGGCAACAGAGAGTTTGAAGAGTCATCATCTGTAAACCCTGAGCAATGCACACACCAATGTTGGCAGGACTTTTTTTAAAAAAAAAATTTTTTATTAATTTTCTTTTTTTTTTACATCGTAAAACATCATGGTATCAAAAACATTCTTGGCATCTATACAAGATTTTGATTTAAATATCATATTGCAATATATTGCGTTTATCTACTATTAAATAATATCTTTAGCTATAATTACTATTCTTATATCATTATATAGTTTACAAAATTTTATTTTACTTTCTTAAGGGTTGTTTCAATTAACATTTTTGTCTCACTTCTTGGTTCTGTTTGTAAGCCATTTATACCAATTGTTCCAAATTGTAAAGAATTCAGAGCCGTCTTTTTCTTTCAATTTCATTGTTAGCATATTCATTGTTAGCATAGTCATCTCAGCACTTTCTGTTACTTTGTGTATTGTTAGTTCTTCATTAGGGGTATTTGATGTTTTCCAATGTTGGCAGGACTTTTAAGCATACATCAATCTCCCTAAGTTCCTTCTTCCCTAACCTGATGTTTTCCAGAAATGTTGGGCCTAATTGGCTGAAAATAAAACACCAAGGTACGGTACAGAACAGAATGTCAGAGAATTGATGCATCAGATTAACATACACATCTCATTGAACATGGCACTCTGTCTCTTGAAATGTCATACCAGGAACTACTCTGGGAATGAGAGAAACTGGAAGACTTTACTAAAGTTCTTCCCTCAGGCCCAGAACACCCCTGAGATGCCAGCTCCTAGAGCGGAGCTCATTCCTCTCCACTTCCCCCAGCCAAATGCAACAGAAGAGCGGGCCCATGCTGCCAAGAGATAGGTTGCCCCAGAAACAGCCCTTTGTGCTCAATGGTGAGAGCTGCAGGCCCAAAGCCCTGCTTGGAACAATCTTTTGTACTGATGCTAAATCTGGGCCTGCAATGGAGAATTCTGTCCCCCCCCCCCGCAAGCTATTGGGGCCCACATAGCATATGCATTTCAAATCCACAAAATAACCCAAGACAAAATGTATATCCTATACAGCATGTTATATTTAATATCCAAATACACAGGGAAGTTATATAGAAATACATAAGGACAGAATATCATCTTAGCCATGCACGATATATTAAAGATATAAAACAAGACTAAGATAATAAAAAAACAATAAATTACAATGACCATATATCCTTTATCATAAAAGACAGTCCTTTATTTCAGAAAGCCATCCTTTAGATTTATTTTTTCAAAAACTCACTTTTGTTGTTTATTTTGTATATATGAGTCAATTTTGTAAATATTTTTTTATTTTGCTCGACTTTTCCTTTATGAAATGAAGTTACAAACATAAACAAATTTTCCCTATTAATCTTTTAAAGAGTTGCCTCTTTTTCACATCTGTCCTTTATTTTTTCCAAGAAAATATGTTCACTGTACTATAAATACTAAGTAGAAAAGGGCAAATAAGCAATCCAACACAAGCTCCGCCCTTTTTGTTCAAAAGGGGCGGTGCTTTCACAAAATGGTGCTTTTGTTCTTTTGATAATAGGCAGATCCTCTGCATCCTCTCAACCCAATTGGTTTCCATCTCCCTGTCTCTCTTCAGTCAACAGCTTGAACTTATGCACTTCTTCAGCTTTGACAGGTTACATAATATTTACCCCCCCAAAAATAAATAAGGATTGTATCATTAAATGGAGGCATTGAGATGGAACACTGGGAATTCTAATGGAAGAACATCAGATTTACTTGGCATATTATTACTTAGAGAAAATTGGCATAAGATGTTTTACTGTTGGTATGTTACTTCACTCATAACTAAAGTGAATAATTCTCTTTCCTAAAACTGTAAGAAATGCAGTTATAAGATTAGATCCTTTTTTTCCTATGTGGTGGCAGTGTTGTAAAGCTCAACAATTCTGAAAAATATTTCATAGTAGAATGGAGCACATTTTGATGGTTGTAATTCCATTGCAACCAAGATCTTCTTAATATTTTTTCTAAACCATATATCTCTTCAAAATATATTGAACTGTATATATTAATGGCTGCATAAATTATCCTTTTTACTGAAAAAATACTTTATTCTTCAGACTAACTAAATCATGAGAGGCTGCTAAACATGTCTAAAACAACATTCTATGTATTGAAAAGTAAATTGATGTAGAATTAAATTTTAACTAGAAACCATTATTGCATTGTCTTGTATATGGATTTCCACCACATCAACAATTTGGGTTTTCCTATCTATAGAATTACATCTAAATTTGATCTATAACTTCTAGAACTGATTTAATGTATTTGTTATCATTTATTATTTTGTCAGTGAGTTACATTTTGTTGATCAAGTATGTTTAGCTTAAACCCAATAAGGATACAGAAAGGATTATGTGGATCTTTTTCATTTGGGATTTGGGCTGGGGTAAAGTATGAGAAGGCACTGATCTTTTTTCATGGATAACCACTTGGGGGGCTTGGGACAACAGTGGCTAGTCCATCCTGGCCCTCTTGCAAGATTTCAATATCACCAAACATTCCACACAGAATATTAAAAAAGGAGAAGACTGCCAAACCTAATTTTTGGTTTCTTCAGTATTTTTAGCTAAGCTTGTTGTTTGCAAGAATGCAAAAGAAACTTCTTTCCCTCTAACCCAATTTTTATTTAATCTATACATAAATTCAGCATTTTTGTTTTAGGCCAATTTATTTAGCACCAACTATATGAATCTATCTTGATTGTTTGTTTTATATTGTTTGTTTATAATCGTTTTGCTGTACCAGCTGAGCTTCATTCCAAGAGAAGGGATATTCAATATTGTACTAAAATAAATCTTCATTGTTTTATCCTGTTTTAGCTTATTTTTCACTCAGAGTCTGAAAACTAATATCATTTGCTGCTATGGTCACATAGTAAAATATATTTTATTAAGTCAGTTGGGCTATATTCATAAAATATGCTAAGCTTAGTTAGTTTTGGTTTGTTTGTGTATGTTTTGGTAGCTTAGTCTAGAGTATGAATCCAGGATATTTAAATAATTCAATGTATTGTGCACAGTTAAAAATGTGTTTATTCAGTAGCCAAATTAAGTGCATTGTACAAACCCAGCAATTTATATCAGGTTAAAGCAAGGTTGCTTGATTTAAAATCAATTTTATAGTCAAAGGAAGATCTCTCCAAAATAATTTCCCAAGAATTTGGCCCCATCCTATCAAACTTGTTTTTTTCTTTGGAGGTAAGGCTCATTTCTGATAGGGGTGGCATCTTGGTCATGGCTGATAGGAGAACCACTTTCCTATTTGAGGCTGGGGAAAGGGGTATGTCCAAATTGCCCTTCTAATGTTACCTTTTATACAGTAACTTTGAGGGAGATGGGTGGTTCAGAAATGTGAAATATAAATAAGTAAATAAATTATTTGTGTGCCATTCATCTTTTGACTTGTTTATTCACATGGTTGTTCCCTGCCCCCTTCAAAATATCTGGGTCACATCAAAATAAACTATCATCAACAGTAAACAAACTCTCAACATTTTAATATAGTATTCAACATTAAAGTTCAAAATTGAAACAACTTTGCACCACAGATATCTCAAGACCCAAATGCTTAACTGAATCCCCAGTTTTAACTGTTTCACTGAAATAATAAAAGTCTGAGTGCCATCTAGGGGTAGCATATTCCAGGACAGGGTCACCATCGCAAAAGTCTTCTTCCTGGCTTCCATGTCCTTAACATCTTGGACAAGACACCCAAAGCATGCCTTCTCACACTGTTCTTATTGTCTGTTTGGAGCAGAGAGTCATGTAAGTAATCTGGACTCAAGCATATACAGCTCTGAAGGGCAAAATCAGTACCTAGAATTGTAATCTAGAATGCACTGGGAGACAACAAGGCACCCACAATTTGGGTATAAACTACTAAAGCAACTTTTACCTATCTAACTGCAAGCTGCTGGCTGCATTCCATATCCACTTAAATATCCACATAGTCGTCAAAGGAAGCCCTGAGTAATCCAGTCTTAGGTAATGCCTTCTGGGTTCAGTTCCAAGTGGGAAAGAAAGACACTGGAAACATGGTGACTGCTTGGAAAGATGGTTTAATGGTGGACAGGATCACATGCCTTGGGTGAAGAAAAAAGGAAAAGGGTTGAGATGCTAAGAGTCCCTTAGTTATATAACCTCTGTTGGGCCCCACCTCAGTGTTTCCTGTTCCTGTGTAAGAAATGTATCCCATTGGCTGACTCCCAAGGGCGAGGGTCTTAGCTAACTTTGTAGGCTTTGTCTGGACCACATGGCTTCACCTGAGTGCTGGCTGATGCAATCTTCCCAGGCCAGGTGGTGAGATGGGCAGAGGCCTTTATTATGTAGAATACTCTGACTCAGGCTAAATGGCCTGCACATTAACAAAGGTGAGGGTGAGCTTCTGAGGTGAATTTCTGCTTCTGAGTTTCTACTCTTTTTAGGGGAAATATTCTGTGTTTTTAATATTTCCTAGGATATTTCATTTTTCTAGGAGAGGAATGGATGCTAACTTCCTACAGTAACATGGACACAAGTTAATATCATTCAAAAGAGGCCTACAACTAACTACACCTTATCCTTGAAAGTCAGCCTTAAGTCAGTCACTGTCTCATCTCAACTCATCTCACAGGGCTGTTGTCGTGTGGAAAATAAGAGAAGATGTGTTGAATATGTTCACCGACTTGAGTTATTTGTAAAAATAATAAAGGTGAGATGCAAGTAAATAAACTAGGACAAGGGTCTTCAAACTTGGCAACTTTAAGGCTTGTGGACTTCAACTCCCAGACTCCAACATGACTGGAGGAGGAATCCTGGGAGTTGAAGTCTACAAGTCTTAAAGCTGTCCAGTTTGAAGACCCCTGAACTAGGAGATCTATGGAAGCTGAGCAAAGGCCACAGGATCAAACCAGCTGATCCAGTAGGAGCTGTGTGTCCAGGAGAACCTGCAAGTCATAGACCTGCTCCATTAGAGGGAGCACAACCTCAAAACACAGACAGTGTAGTGGCCAGGCACAAAGTGGTGGTTTCTGAACTCCATCTATCTGGAATTGAGTTTCAACCTGACTCATCCCAGTCCTTTCTCATTCAGATCTCCTGCCTGGTCCAAAGCAGAGATATATTCAACTGGGTATCAACAGCATATTCATGATAATTTACCATAAGCAGATAAATATTTTCTCTCTGACTTTCATATAGATATTAAACAACTGGGAAGAGGGTTTTGTGTCATCTTAAAAAATTGAGCACAAACAATAGCATAAATTTCTACTTATAATGCCCTTCTTTATCCCATGCACAAAATAATCCCATGTCGCCTGTCTAAGGATGTCCCTAATGGAATGCTTTCTCTCCACCTTACCTATCTACACTATGCTTCCATCCATTGTTTTCAAATTCTACTGCTCCATCTCCATGTGCTGTATTTCAGTTCCCATAATCTCTAAACAGTAAATACCAAAGTCCTTGTAACAGGGGGCACATACTTTCCTTCTCCTTTTCTTTCTATATCTCACTAAGAAAGTTAAGGAACACTGTAATGCATAGAAGGGGGTCTTTTGTTCTCATTATATAGTTTAATAAGGAAAAAAGTTGAGGGAAAGAGATTTGTGTCTTATTTTTACACATTCTGGTTAACTAATCATATATACCTGCCGATCAAGAACTCTTCATTATACTGGAAAAAGATTCTGTGTCAGACATTTATTTAGGTTGGTTTTTTTTACAGGTGCTTAAGGTGCTTAAAAAGGATCCTGTTCTGCAATCTCCATCCCTCCTTGGCCTTCTTGGATTCTGGCACCAGTTTCTCCCAACAGATTTATACTAATTCTTTCTTCACATTCAACAAAGCTGGAGCTCAGAGGCAGCAATAGGCGGGTGGGGGAGAGTGGGAGAGAGATGGAATGGAATGACAAAGCTCTTAGACAAAAGGCACCTTAGCCAGTCTTTAGATGCAAATCACACAAGGATAGGGCCTGAAAATCTGGCAGCTGGACAAGGGAAGAGAGGCCATTAGACTGAAAGGTTTTCCCTACCAAGCTTGGAGCTGAGCTATTTTACCCCTCCATCCCCAAAATGCACATAACGAAAAAGATACAAGTAAGTACATCATTCTTGAGATTCTAAGTTAACCCCAGAGGAAGCCTTGCAAAACTTTTCCAACCAACAAATTTTATTAAAAGGAATAAGCTTTCACAAGCCGCTCCTCACTTCATCAGATTGTATTTATTTATTTGAAAAAAAAAATTATATAGCTGCCCTCCTCATAATAAACTCTGGGCAAACTCCCAAACAAAAATTACAATAAAACATAAAAACCAAATTAAAAATATTTAAATTAAATGCACAAAAACAAAAACCTGGTTCCAAATGAAGTTTCTGACATACCAGTCACCTCATCTGATCCCAGCAGTTTACTAGGTGGATAGGAAGGTAGAGGTTGCTGATCTTTAAGGGAAAGAGTGTTCCCTAGGCTAAAAGTTGCCACAGAAAACACATACTTCCAAAATTGCAATGTTTAAAGAAAGGGACTAGGAGCATGTCCATACTATCTAATCTTGTAGGACAGGGGGCCTCTAGGGAAAGGGGGCCTCTCAGATAACATGGCCCTATGCCACATAGGGCTTTAAAGGTGAGGACTAGCACCTTGAAATGTACCTTGAAAGAAACTGGAAACCATACAGAGTCAAATATGAAATATAATTTGGATGTAAGGGGCCAAAAGCTCAAAACCACTCTGTTTTGCATGCAGTGACTTTACTAATGTAGGATTCAAAGGTATTTATGATCTATATAATCAGACCTGTAATCAACCTGTCTTCCCCTCCCTTTCCCACTTGTCATCCCAATATAAATCCAACATCAGTCTAGCCACTCTACACATCTGATGACATTGCATGCATTTTCCTACAAAACGTATGCCAAATAAAATTTATTAAATGGAAAAGGTGATACTAGATTCCTTCTCATATTTTGCCACCATAAACTAGCACCTTTCTTTTCCTACAGTAAGTATCAAAACAGTACAGCAGGAGTAAGAAATCTGGTGTCCTCAAGCTGTTCTGGGATTACATCTCCGAGAATCCTTTGTCATTACTCATGCCAAGCTGGGGTTGACGGAAATTGAAGTAAAAACCAGCAAGATAATGTCTGGTGTCCATTAAACATACTATTCCCCAGAGCTGTTTCTCCATCATCTTTGTACATCTAACTTGAAAGAGGCCCATTAAAAAGTTGCTTTGAAGCTAAAATACTCTAGCTCCAGGAGTATTTAGCCATGGCACCTGAAGTTTCACTGCCTGGTGATGAAGAAAAAAAAAACAATTCCAGCACTGAGTATTCTTCTTTCATACATTCTCAATGCATCAGGTCCTTACAGGGAATATGAGGAGCTTCCTTGCTTGTATAAATCTTTGCCTTTAAGCGGTCTACTACAGCATCTCTGAATAACTTATTCTGTTGGGGCGCTCCAATCACAGAGTTTGCATGTTTTCTTCTGCTTTATCAAACATTTTAAGGTGGAAAAACTATCTCAATGTAGAGAAATCATTTTCCAGCCTTCTTCAAAGGATCTTTTCTGCTGGATTCTTAAAAGGTGATTATTTAGATCACCGTCAGGTTTAGCGCAATACTCCGAATCTGCACACCAAAAAACGAACAAGGAAAGCACACAGCCCAACCAAGATCAAAGCTAATCAAGTTCTGCATATTGGTCTTCAGTTGATCTCCTTAATCAGGTTCCATAAATCCCAGGCTATTGGGTTTCATGAAGTAGAGCCAAGCCTGTCTGCAGCTTTCACCTTACACTGCACACTCATCATAAATGGAAGAGCTTTCCTGGATCAGGCAAAGGGCCCATCTCGTCTAACGTTTGGTGGCCACAGCGGTTAACCCAGGGGTGGGCAAACTACGGCCCGAGGGCCACATCCGGCCCGTTGGTCTTTTTAATCCGGCCCGCCGAAGATTGGTACAGAATTAAGGTTTGATGTGAATGATTGAATTATTGCATTCATTTGATTTTGACTTGTAAAGACAGGCATTTCGACACCAGGTAGCGGCCCATCTGTCAAATTTTAAAAGTCAATGAGGCCCCCGAGCCAAAAAGTTTGCCCACCCCTGGGTTAACCTAATGCACTTGGTTGTATTCTCCGAGCACAGCAGCCAAACCTCCAGGAACAGACCAGCCGGTTTTCCATTTCCTCTTGGTATTTGGAGAAGGGGAGGGGGTGGAGTTGCCAACTCAGGGCCGCTTCCTTAGGCTTTTCAGACAACCGAGGAGTTTGAAATGGGGGTAATACAGATAACCGAGTCATGCGGGGAGGGGGCTATTGTATACGTAGCCCTGCCCTCCCCCCCAATCCATTCACAGGAAAAATGGGGGGGGGAGAGCAGGGACGGAAGCAGGCTTCCCTTCTCATTAGTATTCAAAACGCCGTTCAAAGCCAAACTCCCTATTCTTCTCACGCTATACAAAACCCGAAGCCGGGCAGCTTGCCACCCCCTACCCTTCCCTCCCTCCCTCCCCGGGGATCTGCAAAGCAATCCCTCCCCGCAACCGGGGGGAACAAAAGTGGGGCAAAGGAGAGGGCAAATCTCGGGAAAGAGAAATGAACGGAACGGGCACAAAATTGCCGTAAAACCAACCCTCCGATCCTGCAGCGCCTTTTTGCGTCTGTACAAGAGACCACCTATGAACCCTACGGGAAGGGAGGGGGGAGAACCGGCCGCTAAAACAAAAAAAGTCCAGCCAGGAGTAAATTAATCGCTCAGCGTTTTCCAGGTACCAGGCTCCACCCCCCCCCCCCACGTGCCGCCCCGGCAAAGCAGATCTGCACGCCAAATTGTCCGTGCAAAGTCCGCTTCACCTGTAACAGGAATGCCAGACAGGAATGCCGGGGCTCCCCTTTCGGGAGGGAGGAAACCCGGACCGCGCTCGCAACGCCTAGGACGAGACAGGAGAGGCGGGGATGCTGGGGACGGTTCCTCTGCATCAGCCCCGGCGTCGAAATGCTGTACGCGACAGCAGTACAAGAGCCGTCCATTAATTTCTCTGGGGCTGGCGCCGGAGAATCCGCCTTGGGATCGCGCTGCCATCTGGATCAGCTTCACAGGAACGAAGAATCTAACGCACCTCGGCGAAGTTTTTGTTCGGCGTCTCTCCTCCACGCCGCTTTCTCTCAGCCACTTGCTTCCCCGGTTCCCTCCCGGTTTGACCGACAGCACCTCTCACCCTCCTTGCCTTGCTGACAAGACAAATAACCCGGGGAGGCCCGGAAATCTCCCTCCAACCCCCGGCAACAATCCCCAACCGAAAGAAGAAGCCGGGCAGTCCCCTTCGCCTCCCCACCGCACCGCGAGCGAGAGACCCACCCGGGCCGGGGCGCACGAGGGCGGGCAAGCGGCATTTGGCCACGATAAGGTCGAGCGGCAGCGGCGGGCCGGAGCTCCACGCCAGGCGGCCCAGAGCTGCCGCCAATCGCTCCATGCTGGCCGTCCGCCCCGTCGCCGCCGCAGGAGCATCGCCCTCCACCTCGTCGCTCGCGCCGTTCAGAAGCAGCCGCAACAAGCGAAGCCCGGGGCGCTGCTCCTCCTCCTCATTTTCCGACGACCGCTGCGACACGCCGGGCAAGAGCAACGTCGCCCGCCCCGTCCAGCAGGGCCTGCTCTTCCCGGCCGGGCACGGATTCTCGGCCAGCGGGGGACCAGGTGGCGCTCGCTCCGGCGGCTACATACCTCTCTCGGCTTGCCGGCTCGCTCGCTCGGCTGGAGGCCGGCCAGACCCGCCCACTGGAGGGCCCGCCGTGGACGCGCTCGCACCCCCCTTGCAGGCGCCCCTTGAATGGGTGAAGCGGCCGAGTCTCTCCGTTCTTTCTCTCCTCGACGTTTCTCTGGTTTCTCCACAACAGCAGCCTCGCTTGTGCCTTGGAGCGGTCGGCTAAAGGCGGAACTCACGAGGGCTCCCAGAGGCAACCCGGCCAGAATAAATCAACCCATCAGCTCCGCAGTGGTTGAGAAGAAGGCTTTCCTCGCGCAAGCAAGTCTCTTAGGGCCGCCTATTTCTGAGTAGGCCTAACTGAATTGTGTGGGGCTAACTGGAGCAGGGTGGCTGGGGAATTCTGGGAGTTGAAGTCCTCCAAGCTTAAAGTGGTCAACGTTGGAGACCCCTGTCCTGAAGGACTGTACTGGCAGCCATCTGCAAACTGTCCCCTGCGCACACAGGCAGGCTGGAAGTTGCTCCAAGCCTGTTATTTGCTACCATCTAACATGGATCTGTTTCTGCTTCCAAACATGGTCTGACATTTCCCTTACTCATCACCTTGACTGGAGCCAGGAGAACATTGACTGTTCCTCTGGTTACTAGCTTCTCCAACCTTTTCACACCAGGGAAAATAAAGATGAAAGAAAGGGTGAGAAAAATACAGGTGGACAATACCTTCATAAGGACATCTGGTGACATTCTGCAACCAGGTTCTCCATTTTAACAAACCTTAGGGCAGGACAATTACCTGCAGAACAGCAGGTTGTCCTGCTCAGTCTCTGCCTCACAAGAGTCTGAAGGCCATAGTTAAAAAAAAAAAAAGTCAAGATGATGGCCATTGATTGAAGCCCCATCTATTTTTTTTTTGTAAGGGTTGTACTATTATGGCCAACATCTTCACTTTTTTGACCACACTGTCCAAATAAGCCTGCTTGCAGGGGTGGGATTCTACCAGTTCACACCTATTCGCTAGAACAGGTTGTTAACATTATAAGCAGTTCAGAGAACTGGTTGTTAGAAGAAATTACTGGCCTAATCCTGTAAGGAAGGCAGGAAGGAAACATTCTGGTGTTGCTTACAGAAACTGCCTCTCTGTTAACCCTTATTACATTCTTGGCAGGACTAGACTTCCTGTCTCAGGAACTTCTCTGGAGTTTTTTCCCCCTCCTTTGCTGGTACTTTGCTTGTGTGGAGTGACCATTTAAAGTTACAATGCACTGGAAAAAGTGACATATGACTATTTTTCACACTTATGACTGTTGCAGCATCCCCACAGTCATGAGAGGCCAGGAAAGGAGATGCGTGCCTTGATGTGAGTGATATTGAGTTGGCCACACCCAGCCAATAACATGACCACCAAGCCACATCCACCCAGTCACATGACCACCAAGCCATGCCCACCAACTAAGCCACACCCATAGAACCGGTTGTTAAAAAATTTGAATCCCACCCCTGCCTGCTTGTCTAGTATTTTATAGTATACAAAACAGTGGGCTGCTAAAACATGGCCTGGGAGAAGATAAAGCCAACATCATGTAGACCCAGAGTCAATATGAGGTTGCCAGCCCAATCTGGTATCTCTGGAAAGGATTAATTTATATGTGGAGGCTCTGTGATCAAGCAAGGATTTCATAAAAGCAAGCTGAAGATATGTGCTGATGATATTATGTGGTTTTTTTTTGTAATAGTCAATATTCTTAACCAGAATGTATGGGTATAATGCAACTATTTGCTAAGTAATTGATTCAATTAATTTGAGATTCAATTAAAACGTTCAATATATTTTCAGTAGGATTAATTCTATGAAGAATGGCATTTTGTGGTGTTTTCAAAAATTGTAAATGCTACAGAATTTGCAATAAAATATTTCTATTCATAGAAATTTTTAATTACAGAAGCAAATATTTTAAAATACTTATTTCAGAATTGTTTTAAAACAAATTCAAGATTTATATATACATACATATTTATCTAATTTAGAAGCTGCTCAACTCTAAATAACTGTAGATGGCTTATACTTTAAAAACAATAAATAATAAAAATTAAAAAAACAGATCATACAAATCCAGAAGCAAGAAAGACAGAAGCAAATTTTTAAGTCCCCTTCCTAGATCACATTGTTCAATCAAAAGGACACACAAAAAGAACACACCCACTTTTCTTAAGTTTACCAGGACAAAACAATGCAAGAGTTCATCCTTCAAACAACCAGGCATTGTGCTATGAAAGGTTTTATAGATGATAACCAGCACCTCAAATAATATCCGGGTTATAATTTAATCATAAATCGTAAGGCTGGAAGCGACCTTAGGTCTTCTAGTCTAACTTCCTAGGGCACGAGCCTGATACTATCCTGGACAAATGGTTGTCCAATATTTTCTTTAAAACTTCCAGTGATGGAGCATCCACATGATGGAGGCAAGCAATTCCATTAATCATTCTCACTGGCAAGACATTCCGCATTTCCAGGTTGGTTCTCCCTCTAATGAGCTTCCACCCATTGCATCTTGTCTTCTCTTCTCATCTTGTCATGTGCCGTCCATCTTGTCTTGATGACTTCTTACCCTTCCTACAGGTGCTATGGAGAATAAATCAATAGTCTCTTCCCTTTGACAGCCCTTCAAATATTGGAAGACTGTCTTGTAGAGTACTACTATTGTGAGCATACCATGGTATGCCTATCACTGGTCATATTGCATTGTAGACCAGTTGTAGCTTCAAAGTGATCTTCAAAGATAACCCTGTGTATAGTGTAATGCAATAGTCCAGCCATGTGATTACTAGGCATAGGTGGCCATCTGAAGTCCCTCTCAATTTAGAAACAGAGACAACTGGCACTTCAGATGATACTCTGCAAAGGTCCTCTTGACCACTTTGACAATCTTTTCTTTGAGCCAGAGCTGTGAGCCCATTGTGCACCAATTGTGAATGGGGATGGGCAACCCTATGCTAGACTAAAAACAAATGTTCCTCAGTCAGTGGGCCCAAATATTCACAGAAATTTGATTTTGTCAAGATTTAATCTGAGCCTGTTCTTCCCAGAGCCACCCAACCTTGACACTGTATCTAAGGATTCAGCTGAATTGTCCATCAGAATGTTCTGGTAAATCAGGAAAAATTCCAAGTTTTCCCCGAAACCTCATAGGGTTCACAAGTCACTTGAGGTCAACCAATCAAATAGGTCTATCTCCCTAAAGGATGAGGTGATATGGAGCAAGTGGGAAGTCAACGGAGAGTGATCTGTCTTCTCTGTGAACCAATTATATTTCAAAGCCAGACCATGTTGCAGCTGTTCTGGGATTAAAAACAGATCCAAAATGCGACTGCTGGTGTGTTGGGTCTTTAATAATTTGGGATAGATCCATGGTTGCCATGCTTAAAGGAATCCCACATCAAATAACTTAGATTTTCATTATCTAAATGGTAAGTTTTTTAAGAAGATGTGAGTTTAATATTCCTAATTCCAACTTCATCATTGTTTACATGTTTTGACATCTACTTTAATGTAACTAATTTCAAAAGCAATTTTCTTATTTGACCTTTTGATATCAGTAGGGAATTTCTATTATCTCCCCGGCATTAATCAGGTGGTTTGGGGCTGGAAGTTTAAATTTTTTCATTTTCATGAAATATTGAGACATTGGACTAAGGTGGAGGGGGTGGGATGGCCCAGAAATTAGACACTGAGCTTGTCGGCTTGAAAAACGACAGCCCAGATTCAAGACCCTGCATGACGGGGTGAGCTCCAATTACTTCCACAGCTCCTGCCCATCTAGCAGTTTCAAATTATGCAAATATGAGTAGACAAATAGACACCACTTTGGTGGGAATGTAACTTTCTATATGCCTCATCATGCTGGTCACATAACCACAGAAATGTCTTCAGACAATGCTGACTTCCTCAGCTAAGAAACAGAGATGAAAACAGTTTCCTAGAGTAGGAAACAATTGGACAGAAGAAACCTTTACCTAGAATAAGATGAGGTTGACAATTGCAGGATTTTTCTCCAGAATTGTTGGACAATAAGTGATATATTTTAAAAGTTTTAAAATCATATTTATTGCAAGAATTTGGACTAATTAAGTAGCTGAATAGAAATATATTCAATAAAAGCAGCATTTAACATACAGTTTGAACCTGGCACATTGTTTGAAATTCCTAAATTGTGATTATTGGAAAATATTTTTATTCTAAATTTACAGGACTTTTTAGTCATTTTTAGAGAATTATTGTATTAGATCGGTAAACTACAATTATGGAACAAAGGTTTGGAATGTCCCACTAATCATACTAATTATTGCAGAAAAATAAGGGAAATTATGCTGGGATTCATCCCCATTTCCTAGCTGAAGCATAATTATGCTGGGATTCATCCCCATTTCCTAGCTGAAGCATTAATTTTAAGGGACATGACCCTATAATGCCTCTTATCTTATCCCCAGCCCATTATGGAACGAACCTAGTATTGTATGTAGTAGTTGCGCTGTAAAATGGCTTAAAATTCCAGATGACTGTGCATCTGAGGAGCATGGGAAGAAGCTAAAGGAGCAAAGAATCATATTTTATCCGCAGTAATAAGGTGGTTATTTTTTCCCCTTTGGTAGGTGAAGCCAGACGGGAGGAGAAAGGAAGCTAGGAATTGCTCAATCACTGCCCTGAAGCTGTCCTGTATCATAGCTTCCAAGCACAGCAGCATTGCCCGATCATGCTGCCAAGGTGCAATAAA